AGTACTGGAAGTGAATATCGGAACGCAGCCCATATTGCTAGAGAAGGAGAAGTGCCTCAGATCGTTCGTGTCACTGGACGTTAGCGCACATGAACTTATCTGCCTCAACCGCCATCGTATTAGTGATCCAAGTGCTCTGTGGTATACATTGGAGCATGCGACCCGAACAAACCTAAGATAGAATTTTGGAACGTAACCTTGAGAGGCTTACTAATTCGACCGTTAAAAAGCCAACCAAACCTGTCAAATTTATAACGAACTTCGGAGTGTAAGTAAGCAAGAATCTTTTATTATAAACGATAAAGGTAAATATTCTTTTTCCTAGATTTTAAATATTTATGTATTATGTATTTGTTAAATGTTATGTTTGCTGCTAATATGTGTATTACTTTGTGATAATGCGATGACGTAACTTCAAGAATTTTCAAAGGAAACTCGAAATTCGAGTACTCTTCTGGTTACACTTTCAGTGAATTTACATAAATCATACAAGTAATAAAATAAAATAAGCAAATTTATATATAATGTTTACAAATTTCAAGTGTACTATAGATTTCAAATGTAAATTTTTAAATGAAATTTAATTTGAATCGTGTATTAATTTATACATTATAGAAAAAACAGTAAACATGTTTAGAGAAGAATGTGGTAATGATGCTAACTTAAGAAAATTTATTAACATCTTATGATAAATTAGATTAGTTTTTTATTGTATCTTTTTTGTAGTTACTATGTGCATAATACTACATTATTTTAAATATTTTATATGAGGTAAAACAGATGAAAAGAATATATATCATTTTTTAGAATTCATGTAATTGATTGGTCTAACTTACTAAGCGCCATCACTTTATTTTTTCCTAGTTTTGTACATACATCTTACATATATTGGCTCATATCAACTTTTATACTTAATTATAAACAACACACAACACCTCGAATTTTTGATTATTATACTTTATTATACTGTCGTATATCAGCAATGTTGGTTGGATGTGCGTAGTTCCATTTGTGAATATTTTTGGACAATTTTCGGTGTTTTTACACCACTTTCTTTATTATTATCGTTATCTCTAGTTTGAACAAATACATAACTAATAATCTTTAAAGACAGTATATGTACAATGCTTCGGTAACATAAGGATCAATCTGTAATCAGACTGGCGTGTGGACTAATCTTTGTGGTCCAAGAGCCATACTTGCACCAAACCAAACCATTATACTTTATTAGTTTATCTCAGGCACTTTATTCTTACTTGTAAGTTGAATATAGATATAGATAACTGTATATTCTAGAAAAGCATAATTTTATAGTTGTAAAATGTCAAAGACGCATAGTCCAACACATTTTAATGGAGAAACGGATAGTTTTTACGACCCCAATTTTTCTGTGGACATCAATAGACGGATGCGAGTCCCCAAAAGCATTCGTGTGAATGGAGATTATACAGATGAAGATCTTATTACAAACAGATCACCATGGAACCAAGTACCTTCTATGGAGAAACTTGAAATGCATGTACCAGAGAAGATTCTTGTTGTAGGTAAGACTGCTTCAGAGTATAGAAATATAAAGTCTCAGGTTTGTTACAAAAATGTCTTAAGAATAGAATCATATTGCTTTCTTTTTGTGATAATTATACATGAACTTATTCTTTTCTATTATATATTTTGTATTATATATTTGTTACAGGACAAGAACAGCATGTTGGCACAAAAGCACCACCACCAGAAATTGTTTTGGAAAATGCTGTAATGCTTACAGAGCCAGCTACAGTTAGAGTACAGGTAATGTATATTAAAAGAATCCTGAAAGAGAAACAATTTATTAATTACTTATTTAATCACTCCATTTATTACTTGTCAACAGACTCCTCCGAGAATTCTAACTCTCGACAATCACTACTTTCCGACAGCAGACGAGAGAGAACCTGTACATATCAATGAAGTTGTGAAAACAGTGGATGTAGTACCTAGAACATACAATGCAGAAACACAAATATCAAGAAGGTATTGTAGAATTTTGTCTTAGCAAAAGAATAAGTTTCATAAAATAATTTTTGTTTTCTTCACACATTTGTGTGTTATACTGTTTTATACAGGGAGCAGACATCTGTGTATAATACTCTCGATGTATCTCTGCCGCCGAGTGAAGAAATTCAGCACTTACGTCGGCAAGTAGGTAAATTAAATCGCAGAGTGATGGCTCTCGAATTAGACTCCATGCATCGGCAGCAGAGAGACAAGATTTTGTATGTGGCGACTATAGCGTATTTCCTGTTGAAAGCTTTTTCCTGGATAACTAAAGAAAGAAACTAAATTTTAAGGAAAAACTACTTTTAAGGGGAAAGAAAATATTGGAAGATATTTGTTTTCAAACTCTAAAGTGTATAAATATTAGTCAGCAGTTTGGCTCATTTGTTGTAAGAAAGTATAGCCAAAGACTTTTTACCACAGTCTTTTAAGATCAGTCAGTTAAGATATATGACTCATAAATGACAACAGAATAGATATATGTGAATGTTTATATATTATGCAATTAGAATGTTTAATATTATGCCATATAAATGCGATGAGTGATTTATTTTCTTCATATTATAAACAAGTTTCTTCTCTTTGAAAGACATGTATGTATTCTATTATATTTGACGATATGTATATTATTATCGATTGTTGATGTATATACAGCATGCAACAGAGGAGTAGCAAGTTTGTTTCTTTATATACTACCAAGTTGTTGCACATTTTACAAACACATATTCAACAAGATGTGTACTTGTGTAACAAAGTTTTTTTTTAAATATTACTATGGATTCAGGGGCTGGTTATTACCATAACTCTGAATGACTTGATCTGTCAAGTATTTTTGTTACGATTAATCGTACATTGGTCGATACATTTGTAAGTTGAATTATGGTTGACGCTTAATTGGCTGATTAATTTGAGCAGAAATGATGGAACTAGAAATTTCAGTTCTCTTTATAAAATACTTAATGTTACATTGCTTTATAAAGCAGTTATCTGTTTGTAGATAATTATGTTTCTGTGGTAATAGCAGTTTGTTATATATCTAATCCAACGAATATGTATAACAAAAGTCAATAAAATTATTATTAACAAACTTTATTATATATAAAAAAATGTATTCATCGTGTAACAGTAGAATAATTTGCAGCAAAGAGAAAGAACAAGATCTTTCGCAAATCAAAGTAACTTAAATGTCTTGCTCTAAGAGTACTGGACTTTTGGTTTGGTCAGAGAAAAGGCTGACAAGGAGAGGGCACGATGTGTGACCAATCGAATTCGCCGAAACTTTTTGTATCGATAGGATAGGTCATTATGCCAAGTGTTACAGGATAAACGCATAAGATGCACTCAAGCGTTCGCGAGAAAATTGCAATTAACAATTTTCGAGCGACATAAGTAGATATGAAATAGAGCGTTTTATCGAAGAGCGCGTAGCGCAGCGGTAGCGCGCTAGACTAGTAGTGGCGGTAGAACGCTGCTCGTTCGAGTCTTGATGAGTTTGGTTTTTGAAATACAATAAATTTGTATAATATAATACAATTACTATTCAATATAAACGTAAATAATAAATTTTTTATTGTGTTAAAATTAATTATAACATTGGAAGAATCAATGCTATACAAATAAATGTGAAACGTGGTTTATTTAACTGCAAGAAGACACATTACATGTTGCTGGATAAAATTTATCATAGAAACAATGAAAACAATAATTTTGTGTCGGCAATGTGCGCATCGTACAACACAAGCACATGTAACATTAAAGTTGTTCTATCAAAATGTACACCGTTATGTCAACCGTGTGATGTCTATTTTTATAGACAAATAAAAAACTTTATCAAGCGTCTGCAAAACTGTACAATCTTAATAGAACAACAGCGCGAAATATCATCTTGCGAGGATTGTATCAAAATTCACTTTATTATATATTGTCAATTGTCCGCTCCAATTTTTACAAATATGTTAAGATATGCATGGTTCGCGTCCAAATTAACAGATGAAAGAGAAAGAAGTCTTCATAAATGTAAATGAAGTTTGTTTTCCAGTAGATATGTTACAAACATCTTGTGAATGTAAGCGTTTGTACGATGCGCATATTGTCGACAAAATTATTATTTTCATTGTTTCTCTCTCTCTCTCTCTATGATAAATTTCATCCAGCAATATATAATGTGCCTTCTTGCAGTTAAATAAAACACAAAAAATCAAAATAGACCCGCACAGCCTTAAACCACTGATCAAAGGTAGTAAATTTTGATTATTTGTTATTTATACGGCCTTTTTCTAATTAAATAAAACACGTTTTATATTTATTCGTATAGCACTTCTTCTCGATTCTTCCAGTGTTATAATTAATTTTAACACAAGAAAAAATTTACTTACATTTATTTATTATTACTTACATTTATTTTGAATAATTGCATTATATTATACAAATTAATTGTATTTAAAAAAAAAACCGAGATTCGAATCAGCAGTGTTCTACCGCCACTACTAATCTAGCGCGCTACAACTGCGCCACGCGCTCTTCTAAAACGCTCTATTTCATATCTACTTATGTCGCTCGAAAATTGTTAATTGCGATTTTCTCGCGAACTCTTGAGTAGTGCGTCTTAAGGCCATCCTACATAAAGCCTGTTCTACATTGATCGCAAGCGCAAACGCAAGGAACAGGTCTGGTAGAATTGACTAATCGTATTGATCAAGTCAGCCAATTGACCAGCGTGATTGGTCAATTCTACGAGATCTATTACTTGCGTTTGCGCTTGCGATCAATGTAGAACGGGCTTAAGACGCAGACGCAGGTCGCAGTGCGACCAACAGCGAACCCAGAGCAGGTGCAGCTGCTCCACGAGTTAGGCCTGGTTTATGCGAGCAATAATTGTTAACTTATGCCGGAACCGGTAGAGTTTAACCAGAGAGAAGCCTGAGAGCGGCCATGCCATTGTAGTTTCCCAGATAGCCAAGTCTGTCAAAAGCAGATCATGCAAGTGTCTGCTATCACTTGTTGTCAACAAAAAGGCTACAAATCTAAAAATACAGAAGTTGTTATTATTGATTAAGTCTACAAATTGGTGCCAAAAATCGAGCAGATCTTGCTCACAAAATCTGACAGCAGATTGGCTGCAGAAACTGAGCAAGATCTGCTAACATGACTTGACGTCAGATTGTCGGCAGAAACCGAACAAAATCTGCGCACGCACACTCTAACGGCAGATTGACAACAGAAACCGAGCAGAATCTGCAGCTTTTGGCGATTCACGTAAAATGATGCATTTAAAAGGTTTCAAAATGTCATTTTTATAACATAAAATATAGTTAAGTCTTTTGAATTAACTATTTTTTTAGTTTAAAATAAAAANTGCAATGCAATAATTGTATTATATAATCCCAGGCAACCAGCTGACGTTATAATGACGTTAATATAAAGTCAGTTTTTGACCAGTTCGACGTTAGTTTATGACGTGATATTAACGTAATGACGACGTGAGTTTGTCTCGTCAAAAATGACGTCATGTTAATGACGTTTACTTACGTCATTAATCTGACGTAACGTGATTAACGTGAAAAAAAAACTAATGGCACATCGTAAGAGGGGAATTAATTCGAGATTTCACTCAAATTAATCTTTGGAGACCTGATTCAGTTTGTCGATCAACTGATTAACTCGATGAAAGGTATTATGTCCGGAAAAAATCCTGAAGTGATGATGAGATTTGAACTTGAGACCTCCATATTCGCAGCCCCTGCACTCAGTCCGCAAGACCACTTGTTCCTTAATANAATGTAGTTCTTTTCTCTGCTTATTCTTATATATGCTATTCTTCGCATTTCATTTATTACTTATTTAAATTATTATTTAATTATTAAATAATTTATTTAATTATTAAAAATATTGCAGTGCAATATTTGTAATAAAATAATAATTTATATAAGTTACAAATGAAAAATATTACAGTGCAATATATTTTTAATAAAATGC